CAGAATGAGATGTCATGCAGTGCGTTATCTTTTTCTTTCTCCTCTTTTTTTTCACTATTAAAGTTGAGCCTTAACTTTGAAGATGTAAAAGACTATATCGTCAATAAGAAAAGTTTAGTAACTATAAAAAATTACAAACTTTTTAAAATTGTGATAGGATTATGCTACAACCCCTCATTCCAGCTATGTTAGTGAAACAAAAAATAAGCTTTACCAATGAAAAGCATTAAAAAACAACTTTTGTGTGCTCAGTGGTAAATAAAACCTGAGCAAATATAGTACAGCTGTCACAAAGTCTACAATGAGTCATAAACAGAAAAACTAACCTTCGGCACTTGGTCGCGGCTGTGACTGCGTACGAGCTGCTGGCTTCTTCACGACTACATCAGCTTTCCCAACAGGCTTGCCAGGCAGCCTAGGAACGGGAGGCCTGATGGATCTGGCAAGAGCTGCTGGAGGTTTTGGCATAGCCGTACTGAAATCGGTCATAGTGGTCCTGGAACGTAGCAGAATCAGATCTTCAGGGTAGGGGACTTGAAAGCGAAGCCGAATGGAATGGAGACAACGAGGTGTAGAAATTCCTCTGCGGACGCTTGGTAGGGGCTTCGCGAGCTGTGAGAGGTGGTTCGATATTGGACACTTGGCATTTTCATGCTTACATGAACTCTTGTTGAGGAAAGTTGAGCTTTGCTGTTTCTGCTCGAATTCGAAATGAGCTCTCAAAGAGAGTGCACAATGGGAGAGAAGGGACATAGATCTGCACAGTAGGTCTTCGAACTAATGATAGCCAAACTTCTATTAGAAGCATCTCAAATCAAACGCGCAAACGCTCATCTTTCTTTAACGTGCAGTATTTAACACAAATGTATCTGAATATTGCAGAAAAGCCTAGTCGAACAGTACAATTTCATTATTTCCCAAAATTCGGATATAGGCAGGGCCACGAGAGCAGAGTGAGGATAATTGCTCATGATAGCCGCGTTATTGACCAGGCACACCTCAACCAAGCATCATTACTAAGGTATTTAGGAGCCTAACATATAGAAAGGGCGTGTAAGAGCTTGAAATCTTTCT